GCCTTTTACTTATCAACCTTGGGCTTGTCAGCCTCAGCAGCCAGAAGCTGTCTGAGTGAAGGAAAACCTCTAGCTTCAGTGGGCCAGGAGCAGGAGGCAGAGCTGAATCCCAAGGTTGAGGGGCTTTCGCCCAGCCCCTAGATCCTGGCACTTTGATCTCTGACTTAAAGCCTCCAAACTGTGAGGGAATAAACTCCTGTTTGTTCAAGCCAACCCATTTGTGGTATATTCCTGTCAGAGTGGCACTAGGTAACCAGAACACCACTTTATAAGTACTTGTTTTCCAACTTCACAAATTTTAGTTGACATTTCTTTTCTGCTGGCTGCTTTGCTGCCGTCTTGGCCCTTTTGTGTTTTTGCCTGTTTTATTCCTGTATTGTTCTTATTATTGTTTTGGGAGTTATCAGAAATGAGGGCACTAGTTCAGTCCTTTGGAGCTCAGGTGGCATAGTGACTTTGTCTCACATACTTTGGTCATGTTGTCAGAATGAATCAGTCCCTGGAAAAGGATATCAGGCTTGGCAAAGTAGAAGATCAGCAAAAGAGGTGAAGACCTTCAACAAGATGGGCAGACGCAGTGGCTGCGACAATGGGCTCAAACACAGCAACGATTGTGAGGATGGACTGGGCAGTGTTTCACTCTGTTGTACACAGGGTTATTGTGAATCAGAATCAACTCAAGGGCACATCACAACACCTGAGTGCTACGACTGTCTTCTGATGCCTGTCTTTTCTTCCACTGATCTCTAACCAGGTCCTCCGCAAATGGCAAACGCTAAGGAAAATAATGCCTATGGCAGTTAGTTTTAAAATACTGATGATCTCTCACAGCTGGTGATAGAAACTGTGATGGCTAATAGAAACTATTCACTGACACTCCCCTCACCCTCAAGTGGCACCTAGGACACATGCCATACCTGCCATGCCCTAGATAAGTCTCTGCCTCCACCTAACACAGGTTAGGGAACATTGCTTTAGCTTTGTTCCAGGATGGATCTCTTCTTCCTCTGTCTCCCTCATGTTTGTTCTTAGTCAGGAACACTTCAAATAACACCTCCCTTTGGGGTTCGTGTGTGTTTATGTGTAAGTGTTTGAGGTTGTCCTAAAGGAAAAAAAATGAGTTTTGGTAAAACAATCAAAACAATTACTATCACCAACTATCTAGTGAAAATTTACAAAAGAAGCAACAGGAGGAAAAATATAGCTATTATGTAGGCATATACCCTTTTAAAAGGGGCCCTGGTGGTGCAGTGGTTAAGTGAAAAGTTGCTGTTTGAACTCACCGGGTGCTCTGTAGGAGAAAGATGTGGCGGTCTGCTTTGTAAAGATTTAGTCTTGGAAACCCTCTGGGGAGTTGTTTCTTATATAGTGGCTATGAACTGGAATTGCCTTGACAGCAGTGAGTTTGGTTTTGGTTTGGGGTACCTTTTTTAACTCAGAATTTTAACAACATCACCACGTAGTTATATTCGTGGTCCTGAAAATAACACTGAATCCCCAACAAAATGTTCATTAAAAGACTCTACTGAAGGGAGGGAAAATTGCTAGATAGGTAAAAGATAAGTATTGATTTGGGTGAAGGGAAAGGCAATACGAAAAGAGAGTGACCAACACAATAACGTTAAGGAAAAGGGAAGACACAGAGAGAGGTGCACGAGAGGCACAGACAACAAAGATAAACACTTTTACATACACAACTCTAGGGGCTGTGTAAAAGCCCCTAGACCTTGGACTTCGGCTCTGCCTCTTGCTCCCAGTCCATTGAAGCTAACGTCATCTCTTCACTCAGGCAGCTACTGGCTACTGAGGCTAACATGCTCAAGGTCAACAAATAAATGGCACAGTCCCAATGTTACCAAACAACATGGCAGGCCATTGATTCAAGTGCATTTAAAGTCCCAGGATTGGCAGAACATGGCAGGCTGCTGAACAACAACCCTGCCACATGCAAGGTTCAATCGTGCCATAAGCTACAGACCATTCCCAAAGCTACTGCTTATATACGGGAAGCAGACCACATCCTTAAAGCAGCTACTCAGCTGCTTGTGGTAGATCCCACCATGGAATTGACTGTCAGTCTCATCATGGGGAATAACTACCACCAGCTTCCCAGCCACTCAACCAGGCCCAATCAAGTTGACAAACAACTTTAACTACCACAACAATAATGCATTATTAGTAATAAAAAACAAAGAAACAAACTCACTTCTGTCTAGTTGGATCCAACTCATAGCGACCTCTTGTTGGGTTTCCAAGGCAGTATCTCTACAGAAGTAGATTGCCCAGTCTTCTTTCTGAGGAGTGGCTGGTGGGTAATATTAGTAATACCAAACATTATGGGAGCTCTGGTAGTGTAGTGCCTAAGGCACTTGACTGCTAACCAGAAGGCTGGCGGTTCAAACTCACCAGCCACTCCTTGGAAGGAAGGTTGGGTGATCTACTTCTGTAGTGATACTGCCTCGGAAACCCAAGGAGGGGTCGCTATGAGTCAGGGCCAACTCCACAGCACATTACAACAATAACAACAACAACCAAACATTAATCTTCAGAGGGATACCTAGGTAGACAGGCTCAATGATCAGGTATGTCTAGGCAAAAGGGAATATAATCATGACCATATATAAATTTGGCAGATGATATTTCTACATATGTAGTAGTATGTGCTATAAGAATGTCCATATAAATTACGCTAACAGGGCAAAGTTATGATAACTTCTTACTCACAGCCAGCCACCCTGAGGGAGCAAGTTGTTGGGCCCAGGGGCTCAGGACCATGGTCATGGGGGACATCAAGCTCAACTGGCATAACATACTACACAAAAACCTTGTTCTACATTCTGTTTTGGTGAGTAATGCCTGGGTTCTTAAAAGCTTGCAAGCGACCATCTAGATGCAACAATTGGTCTCTATTGTCTGGAGCAAAGAATGAAAAAAAACAGATATGGAAACAAGTAGTCCAGAGGACTAGTGGATCTCAGCCTACATGACCGTGAGACCAGAAAAACTAGATGGTAACCAGCTACCACTGTCAACCACTCAGAAAGGGATCAGTGTGGGAGATCCCTGATAGAGTGAGAGAAAATGTGGAACAAAACTCAAAATCATAAAAAAAAAAAAAAAAAGACCAGGCATACTAGTCTGATAGACAGTGGTGAAACCCCAGAGACTACGGCCCATAGTCACCCTTCAAGCCTGGAATTGAACTCACTCCTGTGGCTTCCAGTGAAACAACAGACAGACACATAAGGTGAACATTCACACCTAGTAGGTACACTCCTTAGAACAATCAATCATGGGAGATCAGAAGGGCAGTATTTGCACAGGGAGGTAGCTCAGAGGGCAGGAATGTATAGGAAAGAAGGACACAGGGGAAAAAAAAACACAGGGAGGAAGTGGGAAGAGACCTGTTACATTATGGGGATTGCAATCAATGTCATGAAACCAAATGTGTATGAACTGCTATATAAAAAATGAATTTGCTCTGTAAACTTTTACCCAAATCATTAAAAAAAAAAAAAAAATTTTTACTGAAATGGAGCAAAAAAAATGAAAAAATGTCATCTGATGTCCTGACCTTAAACAACTGGGGGGGGGGGGGAAGCAACGTCAAAGTTAAAATAAATATTTTCCTTTCAAACCAAAAAATTTTGTCACTCACTGATTAATCAAATGTTTATTGGAACACACCTAAGAGGCTAGCTTTGCATAGTGGTTTGGAGCTCAATCTCTGGTGGCAGATTGAATTCTCTCTCTGCCCTTTACTAGCATACTGTCCTTGGATAAGTTGACTGTGAGCTTTGGTTTCCTCATTGTTAAATGGATGTAAAAAATAGGAATTGTCTCACAGGAATGTCAATAGAAGTAAATAAGATACTAAAAGTGCTTAAATATTGTGCTTAATAGTACTTGACACTGCTCTTTTAACATTGCCAAAACAAACTCCAAACTCCCTGCCATCCAGTCAATTCCACCTCATAGGGGATTTCTAGGCTGTAAATTTTTACTGAAGTAGCTTGCCCTATCTTTCTTCTGGGAGTGGCTGGTGGGTTTGAACCACTGACCTTCTGGTTAGCAGCCAACTGCCTTATCCACTGTGCCATCAGAGCTCCTTTTTAACATTGCAGTTAAGGTCATATACCTTAAGAGCATAGAAAATTCTAAAAATAAAACTGTATTTGGCTAAATAAGAGTGATGAAGGATTTTCAGAACTCCAACATGGATAGGGTACAAACCACTTACTACTTTGGGTTCTCCACCAAGCCTTACAGAATTTTAAGCCTTGCAAATATATTGTTGTTAGTAACCCTCCAGTTGGCTCTAACTCAAGGTGACATGTACAACAGAACCAAACGTTGCCCTTGTCCTGTGCCATCTTTATTTTGTGGTATGTAGGAGTCCATTGTTGCCAGCAGTTCTGATAATCCATTTCACTGTTTTTGATGACCCTCTATTTTACCATGTAAATAGATGTTGTTGCTGTTGTTGTTATATGCCGTCCAGTCGGATCCGACTCATAGTGACCCCTCCTTGGGTTTCTGAGGCGGTATCTCTACAGAAGTAGATTGCCCAGTCTTCCTTCCGAGGAGTGGCTGGTGAGTTTGAACGGCGCACCTTCTGGTTAGCAGTCAAGTGCCCCCATATGAAGCTCATTGTTGTTGTTGTTGTTGTTATGTGCCGTAGCTCATAGTCACTTTTTAAGGCTCCTTTCCCCAAGCTATAAGCTTGGGCCTCTACCAGCTCTAAGCTCCTATTCCCAGTTACAACCAAAAGGCTTCTCCTCTCTTGTTATCCATCCCTTTTCCCAGTCGACCACCCCAGCCCAGACTCCTCTGATCTTCGACCCTTCCCTGGCAGCAGTGCGGAAGCCAAGCATAGGGCCCTCGCGCCCCTTGTTTCCGCGGGGTCGGGCCGCCACACTGCGCATGCTCCGCTCTGAGAGGGTGGGGTGCGCCGGGAGGAGAGGCGGGCGCCGGGTGCTGGTTCCGCACGACTCGGGAGGCCTTGGCGTCGCCGTCCACGTCGCGGCGGGAGAGCGAGCACCGGGACGGCGGCGTCCTGGAGACCCCAGAGAGATGGAAGCTGCGGCGCCGACGGCGGCCGAGGCAACGGAGCACGAGGAGCTAGGTCGGTGTTGCTTGTGGCCAAGGGCTCGAAGCCGATGTTGGCGCTAGAACCGAGTGTCCGCGGGATACGCCTCAGCTACCCCAGTCTCGGCGATGGGCGATGGCCGGGGAGGCGGATGCGGATGCCCAGGGCCGTAGCGGGGCGGCGGGCCCTGCGTCACTCTGGTGACCCTGTCCGCATCCGGGTTCAAGGTGCTTCTCATTAAGACAGGGAGGGACGTGGGTGGTTTTCTTTCTTTTTGTTTTGTCAAAGCTCTTGCGGTTGTGGGTCTGGCACCTATTTGAGTTTAAAACCCGGCAAACCAATCTGCCCTGAACGTTTGGGATGATAGGAGGTTTAGGCATTGACTGACTCTCGCAGGGTCAGCACCCGCGCAGGAACCGGTTGTCTGGCCAGAAAGCCAGATAGGCTCCAGAAGAGCTGGGGCCTACAAAGGGCATCTAAATGTGCGTGTGGAACTGTGCAATATGTGTACTCGTCAGAGGCAGGCAAGAGCCTGATCTTGACTCACCATTTTTTCCAGTGATGCTTTAAGGAAGGAAGTTACCATTGTTTTGCTTTGCAAACGCCGCAGCCCATCCAGTGGCCAGTTGAATCCTCAGTTTATCCCCTGCCACCCAAGGAATGACGAGTAGAACATCCTGACTAGACTGAACGTGAGATACCTGTAGCTAGCTGGCTTGGCAGTTTGTTTACTGCTTTCCTCTGGTCTCCTCTTGGCAACAGGGAATGTTTGTGCATGGTTGGTTTCCAGCTGTTAAGAGGAAGACACAAAGATCAGGGTGATGAAATGATTATCCTCAGTTATATGCACTGTAGGGGAGTTCTGGTAACGTTGTGCCTAAGGCACTTGACTGCTAACCAGAAGGCTGGCGGTTCAAACCCACCAGCCACTCCCCGGTAGGAAGGTTGGGCAGTCTACTTCCATAGTGATACTGCCTCGGAAACCCAAGGAGGCGTCACTATAAGTCGGATCCAGCTCCACGACATGTAACAACATAGGCACTGTTTTTAGGAATTATTTTAATTCGGTGCTAAGTGATTAAATGTAATCTTCAAGAAAGAGGTTGAGCTTCTTTTAAAAAACACTTTATTATAAGTAACTAATAGGTTGGTATTTCTGTAATGTGTTTTTCCAAGACAAAACAATGATAGACATAGTAAAACAGCATTTTATTGAATAATTGCAGTGTATTAAGCAAGATGCTGAATGTTTTACATATGTATTGTCTAGTTTAATCCTTACAGCAATCCTGTGTTTAGGTGCTATTACTATCTCCATTTTATAGATAGGGTAATTTTAACCTCATTAATGGCAGAGCCCAGATATGAACCAAGGTTTATCCGACTCAATTTTAAATTCATTAGTCCCCTCTCCTAGTGAAGATGTAGGAAGATGGGCATTTTCATGCATTGCTGGTAGGAGCAGGATAATACATCTATTCTTAAAAAAATTACATATCCTTTGACTTAGTGATGCTACTTCTAGAAATATTTCCCAAGGAAATCAGTTATGTAAACAAATATTTATATTAAGAGATGATCATTACAGTATTTATGGTAGAAAAAAGCTAGTAACTAAATGTTCATTTAAAGGAAATTGACTACTTAAGTGTTATATATTCAATATGCTACATAGCCATTAGGAGCTCTGGTAGCATAGTGCCTAAGGCACTTGACTGCTAACCAGGAGGCTGGCGGTTCAAACCCACCAGCCATTCCTTGGAAGGAAGATGGGGCAATCTACTTCCGTAGTGATAACTGCCTCGGAAACCCAAGGAGGGGTTGCTATGAGTTGGGTCCGATTCGACGGCACATAACAACAACACATAGCCATTGAAAACGGTGTGGAAAGATGTTCATCATATACATTTGATTAACTGAAATAAAGGTTTCCATATGATTTTTTTTTTTTAAAGTTCTATGTGTTCATTAATTCAACACATATTCATTGAGCTTCTCATATTGAGCACTTTTTTAGACATTTGGGACACATTCCTGAAAAAAACAGGTCAAGATCTCTTCGTTCATGCTTCTTATATTCTAGTAAGGATAAGCAGACAATAAACAGAGTAACCAGTGAATTATATAGTGTATTAGGTGAAAAGTGCTATGGGAGAAAAATTAGAGCAGGGTAAGGGAAATCAAGAGTGGCGGTTGGCACTGGACAGTTTACAGTAGTTAGAAAAGGTATGCAGGATTATAGGCCTTATTGAATAAGTGAGATTTGAGCAAGGACTTGAAAGAAGTAAAGGAATTAACCAAGCAGACAGAATGAACACAGTAAAGATGGGAATGGTAAGGAGGCCTAAATGACTGAAGCAGAGTGATCAAGGCTGTCAGAGATCAGAGTGTTAACAGCAAGCATGTTATTTACACAGTGGTTAAACGCTTGGTTGTTAGCTGCTGGAAAGTTGGCGGTTTGAACCTACCAGCTGTTCCATGAGAAAGATGTGGCAGTCTGCTTCTGTAAAATTTGGGAAAAAAAATAAAAAAACCCAAACACACTGCCATCGATTACAGCCTTAAAAATCCTTTAGAGCAGTTCTACTTTGTCCTGTAGGGTCACTATGAGTCATAATTCACTCAATGGCAACGGATTTGGTTTCTTTATAGGCTGCAGTGTATAGGTCCCTGAATGATGATTGGGTTTGGCTACTAACCTAAAGGTTGGCAGTTCGAATTCACCTAGAGGCACTTCAGTCTGGCGATCTGGTTCCTAAAGGTCATAGCCTTAAAAACCCTATGGAGTACCTTTCTACTCTGTAGACATGGGGTCATCATGAGTTAGAAGGAACTTGATGGAAACTGATTTGGTTTGGTTGGTATAGGCCCTGTAAAGACCTTGGTGTTGCATGAGATATGGGGAGCCAGTGCAGGGTTTGAGCAGAGGAGTGACAAGATCTGACTTAAATTTTAAAAGAGTTACACTGGCTACTATGTGGGTGGTAATGGGTGGGTTGACTAGAAGCATGGTGTAGTAGTTCAGTTTGTGTGTCAACTTGGCTGGGCCTGGTTGAATGGCTGGGCAGCTGGATGTAGTATTCCCCATGATGAGACTGGTAATCAACTCCATGGTGGAATCTACTCTGAGCAGCTGAGTAGCTGCCTTAGGGAATATAGTCTGCTTCCTGTATATAAGCAGAAGCCTTGGGAATGGTCTCTAGCCTATGGCAGGCTTGGACCCTGCATGTAGCCATGTCATTGTTCAGCAGCAGCCTGCCATGCTCTGCTGACCTTGGGACTTATAATGGATTTGAGTTAATGGCCAGCCGTGTGGTTTGGTAACATCAGGACTGTGCCACATTACTTGTCAACCTTGGGGTTGGCAGCCTCAGCAGCCAGCAGCTGCCTGAGTGAAGAGATGCCTCTAGCTTCAGTGGGCCGGGAGCAAGAGGCAAAGCTGAAGCCCAAGGTCAAAGGGCTTTCATACAGCACCTAGAGCCTGGCACTTTGAACTTGGACTTAAAGCCTCCAAACCATAAGAGAATAAACTCCTGTTTGTTAAGGCCATCCCATTTGTGGTATATTCTTGTCAGAGCAGCACTAGGTAACCGGAATAGAATATGGTACCAGGAGTGGGGTGCTGCTCTGACAGATACCTAGAATGTGGAAATAGGAGTGGAGTGCGTCCTTGATCTGAGACCCTGGCAGAGAGACCCCGGCATACAGCATGAGAAACAGCAGGAGCAGAGTCAAAAGATCGGGATGAGAGACAGCAGGAGCAAAGTCGAGAGACCAGCATGAGAGACGGCAGTAGCAGAACCCAGAGACGGGCATTAAACAGCAACAGGCTTACCAGCCCACGGAGGAGAAAGCCAGGTGCCATTGGGTAGGCAGCTTCCTGGCGGAGTGGGTTGCTTTCAGGTGTTAACTGGTAGAAGAGACTAGCACGAAATGGAGTAGCAAGTTGGCTGGCCCATGGAGCAAGAAAGCCAAGTGCTTTTGGGGCAGTAAGTTTTCGAGCGGAGTAGGTTGTCTTTGGCATTAATCAGCAGAAGCAGAGAGACCAAGAAAATGGAAGCAGAGCTGCCTCAGCCTGAAAGGGTAGCACCATGGCCCCCTAGGTTTCAAAGAGGGTGCTCGTTCATGTGACCCAGTGGGATGGAGCCATAGCGCTGCCCAAGAGTGAGGGGATGGAGCTGCCATGTCCAAGAGGGAGAGGAATGGGGCCCACCAGGTTAAGGTGGTGAGGTCGCCACTTAGAGGAACTGGGGGACTGGAGCCACTCAGTGAGAGGGATCTGTACAGATTGCACCCAATGAAGATCTGTATAGATGCCAAGTTGGCAAGGGTTGGAATTGTGGTAGTTTAGTTTGTGTGTCAACTTGGCTGGGCCTGGTTGAGTGGGTGGGCAGCTGGATGTAATATTCCCCATGATGAGACTGGTAATCAACTCCATGGTGAAGTCTACTGTGAGTAGCTGCCTTAGGGAATGTGGTCTGCTTCCTGTATATAAGCAGAAGCCTTGGGAAATGGTCTGTAGCCTATGGCACACTTGGATCCTGCATGTAGCCTTGTCATTGTTCAGCAGCCTGCCATGCTCTGCCGAGCTTGGGACTTACAATGGACTTAAATTAATGGCCTGCCATATGGTTTGGTAACATCAGGACTGTGCCACATTACTTGTGGTACAGCCAGCAGCTGTCTGAGTGAAGAGATGCCTCTAGCTTCAGTGAGCCAGGAGCAAGAGGCAAAGCTGAAGCACAGGGTCGAGGGGCTTTCACCCAGCCCCTAGAGCCTAGCACTTTCAACTTGGACTTAAAGCCTCCAAACTGTAAGAGAATAAACTCCTGTTTGTTACGGCCATCCCATTTGTGATATATTCTTGTCAGAGCCGCACTAGGTAACCAGAACACAGGGAGACCTGCAAGAGGGTATTTCAGTAATCCGAGAAAGCAATATACTTATCCTTCAGAGCAGTGCGGTAGCAGCAGTGAAAGTGGAGAGAAATGGTCATACTCTGAATATATTTTGAAAGTAGAACCAGCACAATTTCT